GCGTAACAAGTCCATTTACGCGTGTTCTTCTGGTAAACCCGAGCGGTTTGTAGCTGGTCAGTTCCGCCTCTGATAAAGGAGCTGGCTCGGCCTACGTGGCTCTCGATGTCATCAAGCTGAGCTCCTTGGTGCTCGACAAGAACCGCCATGTCTAGAAACACTTGGTGAAGCTCCTTGAGATTCTTCTCTATGTCTTTAACCGCGTCATGCCTTTCTTGGATCTCGTTGATCGTGTCTAAGACCCTTCCTCTTCCTTGTTCTTGTATTGCTTTCTGCATGAATCTCTCACTCTCTCCTGCAACAAAACAGTAACAAAAATCCCTTCAATGTTACACACCACTCATTGTAAGAACATGTATAGTTTACTGAGATCTATCACAGTGTAAGCAACCAACAACTAGCTCAACAAGGGATATGGTCTAAATACAAAATTTGAACCATAATCTAATTTAGTTCAGGGGCCAAATTCCACATGTTCTGGTTCAGGGGCAAAATCTGAAGGTATATTTCTTCACAATCAGATTTAGTTAAGGACGCTCAAAGAACAAGAAGGCTTGAAATCAGTATCCTGAAACTAATAGGCAACAAATTGTTCATCATACGTTCTGTATTCATTAGCATCCAAAGCATTCACTATACAATTGTACTTGAATTTGATTTCTTCCTATTCTAAATTGCAGAGATTCGAGTGGAAGAAAACGATTCAACTAACCTGTAGAAATCAGTCGATCTAGTGTTCCTTCGTCTGGATTCTCTCCGGTGACAGTGAAGTACCTCCTCTGTACAGTTTCTCTATACTCCGACGAGATTAGCTCCCTCAAGCGATTGAAACTATCCATCGAATCCTTCAATTTCTTCCTCAAACCATTAAGAACAGAAGTCCGAGTTCGATCAGAGGAAGATCCAGGTCCACAACCAGGGAGACTCCGATTAGCGGCATTAGAGCGATCAAGCGCTTCGAGTTTAACCTTAATCATCTTCGCTTTCTTCAACGCAACTCCGACGTCACCTTCCATATTCGACCTGAGATCCTTAACTGCTTTAGCATTGTGAAGCGTCTTACTCTGCTCGTTACACGATCGGAGTGTTTCGTTGAGCCGATCTAGCTCTTTCAACTCTTCTTTCACAGATTCAACATCTTCGAAGAACTTGTCGAGATTCACACCACCGGTTCCCGCGGGCTGCGTCATCTGAA